CTTCAGATTACAGCCTCATATATGGTACACTCACAGGTGACATTTCCTGGTCTTCTCTGCAGAATGTAGGCTGGAGCAATGGGACTGAGCTCAAGTCCCAGCCTTAGTTGCATTTCTGTTCTGGCCACTTGTTGAAGGAGGTCCCTTATATTTCCAGAGCATTTGCCTTCCTGAGGGATAACTAAGGCAGGGTGATAAGTAAGAAGTAGGTATGTGAGCTCAGTGGGAGGAATGGCCATCTCATGCTCCCTTCTCACACATACCCATACAAAGGGGCCACTCCTAAAACCTGTAGAACTGGGTAAGTCCTTTTGGCCCATAATTAAGAAGGGAAAGAATGTAATGCTCCTGGGAGATGCATCACATTGTGTTTAAATTCACACTAAAATCATGTCTTGAATACCAATTTATTTCCTGAGTGTTTCTTTTCATTAAGCATAGGGGAAGGATGGCCTCCCACCCCTATCATGGCCCTACAGGTCCCTAAACAGGCCATAGAGACTTCACTGGGGGAACTTCTTCTGGTCTCTGAAACAAGAGAAGTATGGTCTGACTGCCTAAAGCCCCAGCAGGTATAGGAATGTGAGGCGTGTACTCAGCTATATTAGACATCTAAGAAAGGCAGGAAGAAGACAGGAAGTAGAAGATAACTCACCTAATTAAAAAATGTGGTAATTTATTTTTTCTTCATGTTTTCATTTAAATACCAATTAGTTAACATACAGTGTAACTTTAGTTTCAGGTGTAGAATTTGGTGATTCATCACTTATGTATAACACCCAGTGCTCGTCACATATTCCACCCTTAACCCATTACCCATCCCTCCACCCATCTCCTCTCCAGTAACCCTCAGTTTGTTTGCTCTAGTTAAGAGTCCGTTTCCTGGTTAGCCTCTCTCCTTTTGTCCCCCATAGGTTCATCTGTTTTATTTCTTAAATTCCGCATATGAAAGAAATCACGTGGTACTTGTCTTTCTCTGACTGACTTATTTCCCTCAGCATAATATTCTCTAGCTCCATCCACATTGTTGCAGATGGTAAGACTTCATTCTGTTTTGTGGTTGAGTCATATTCCGTCATGTCTATGTATATATCACATCTTCTTTATCCATTCATCAGTCAATCAATATACATCGGGACTCTTTCCATAATTTGGCTATCATTGATGATGCTGCTATAAACACAGGAATGCATGTATCCCTTTGAATTAGTATTTTTGTATCTTTTGGGTAAATACCTGGTACAACTGCTGGATCATAGGGTGGTTCTATTTTTAATTTTTGAGGAACCTCCATATTATTTTCCACAGTAGCTATGCCAGTTTGCATTCCTACCAACAGTGTGAGAGGGTTCCCCTTTCTCTGCAACCTCGCCAACACCTGTTGTTTCCTGTATTGTTAATAGTAGCCATTCTGACAGGTGTGTGGTGGCATCTCATCATTGCTTTGATTTGTATTTCCCTGATGATGAGTGATGTTGAGCATCTTTTCATCTCTGCTAGGCATCTGTACAGAAACATGTACTTTGTTTTCTTTTTTTAAAGATTTTATTTATTTATTTGAGAGAGAGTGAGACAGATAGCAATGAGTGGGGGAGAGGGAAGGAGAGAAGGGAGAGGAAGAAGCAGACTCCCCACTGAGGAGGTAGCCCACTGTGGCACAAAATCCCAGGACCTTGTGATCATGACCTGAGCTGAAGGCAGACACTTAACTGACTAAGCCGCCCATGTGCCCAGAAATGTGGCACTTCAAATTGGAGTTTTGGAATTTTGGATTGTCAAAGCAGGAAGATATATCCAAAACAACAAATTGAAAAAAAAAAAACCACCTAATAGCCATTTGTATGTCTTCATTGGAGAAATGCCTGTTCATATCTTCTGCCCATTTTTTTATATGATTGTCTGTTTTGTGTGTGTTGAGTTTGAGGAGTTCTTTATAGATCCTGGATATCAACCTTTTGTCTGTACTGTCATTTGCAAATATCTTCTCCCATTCTGTGGGTTGCCTCTTTGTTTTCTTGACTGTTTCCTTTGCTGTGCAGAAGCTTTTGATTTTGATGAAGTCCCAAAAGTTCATTTTCGCTTTTGTTTCCTTTGTCTTTGGAGACATATCTTGAAAGAAACTGCTGTGGCTGATATCGAAGAGAGTACTGCTTATGTTCTCCTCTGGGATTCTGATGGATTCCTGTCTCACATTGAGGTCTTTTATCCATTTTGAGTTTATTTTTGTGTACGGTGTAAGAGAATGGTCGAGTTTCATTCTTCTACATATAGCTGTCCAGTTTTCCGAGCACCATTTATTGAAGAGACTGTCTTTTTTCCACTGTATATTTTTTCCTGTTTTGTTGAAGATTATTTGACCATAGAGTTGAGGGTCCATATCTGGGCTCTCTACTCTGTTCCACTGGTCTATGTGTCTGTTTTTATGCCAGTACTATGCTGTCTTGGTGATCACAGCTTTGTAGTAAAGCTTGAAATCAGGTAATGTGATGCCCCCAGTTTTATTTTTGTTTTTCAACATTTCCTTAGTGATATGGGGTCTCCTCTGGTTCCATACAAATTTCTGGATTATTTGCTCCAGCTCTTTGAAAAATACTGGTGGAATTTTGATCGGAATGGCATTAAAAGTATAGATGGCTCTAGGCAGTATAGACATTTTAACAATGTTTATTCTTCCCATCCAAGAGCCTGGAATGGTCTTCCATCTTTTTGTGTCTTCTTCAATTTCTTTCATGAGTGTTCTGTAGTTCCTCGAGTACAGATCCTTTACCTCTTTGGTTAGGTTTATTCCCAGATATCTTATGGTTCTTGGTGCTATAGTAAAGAGAATCGATTCTCTAATTTCCCTTTCTGTATTTTCATCATCACTAGCCATCAGGGATACTCAAATTAAAACCACATTGAGATACCACCTTACACCAGTTAGAATGGCCAAAATTAGCAAGACAGGAAACAACATGTGTTGGAGGGGATGTGGAGAAAGGGGAACCCTCTTACACTATTGGTGGGAATGCAAGTTGGTGCAGCCACTTTGGAGGACAGTGTGCAGATTCCTCAAGAAATTAAAAATAGAGCTTCCCTATGACCCTGCAATTGCACTACTCGGTATTTACCCCAAAGATACAGATGTAGTGAAAAGAAGGGCCATCTGTACCCCAATGTTTATAGCAGCAATGGCCACGGTCGCCAAACTGTGGAAAGAACCAAGATGCCCTTCAATGGATGAATGGATAAGGAAGATGTGGTCCATATACACTATGGAGTATTATGCCTCCATCAGAAAGGATGAATACCCAACTTTTGTAGCAACATGGACGGGACTGGAAGAGATGATGCTGAGTGAAATAAGTCAAGCAGAGAGAGTCAATTAGCATATGGTTTCACTTATTTGTGAAACATAACAAATAGCATGGAGGACAAGGAGAGGAGAAGGGAGTTGAGGGAAATTGGAAGGGGAGGTGAGCCATGAGAGACTATGGACTCTGAAAAACAATCTGAGGGTTTTGAAGTGGCCGGGGGTGGGAGGTTGGGGGATCCAGGTGGTGGGTATTGGGGAGGGCACGGATTGCATAGAGCACTGGGTGTGGTGCAAAAACAAGGAATACTGTTATGCTGAAAAAAAAAATAAAATTAAAAAAAAAACACCTAAACTAAGACCTCCTTTTAAGACGTAGAAATCAAAGCACAAAGGACAGAGATGAGATGCCCAGATTTGTACCATTAATAAGTAGCAAAAACAGACTTTAGGACTCAAATCTCCTGACTTTCCTCCGTTCACATTTCTCATAATCATTAAGAAAAATATCCCTTTAAAACTAAGGAAAGCAGGGGCACTTTGTTGGTTCAGTCTGTAGAGCAGGTGACTCTTGATTTCGGGATTGTGAGTTCAATCCCCATGTTAAGTGTAGAGAATACTTAAAAGTAAAAATTTTCTTTAAAAGTAGCAAGGAAAAGTAATGGAGTACAGGTTTTAAACCAAAAGGCCCAGGTGTTCAGATTTTTCTCTTTTTTTTAAGATTTTTATTAATTTATTTGACAGACCGAGACCACAAGTAGGCAGATAGGCAGGCAGAGAGAGAAGAGGAAGCAGGCTCCCCGCTGAGCAGAGACCCTGACATGGGCTCAATCCCAGGACCCTGAGATCATGACCTGAGCTGAAGGCAGAGGCTTTAACCCACTGAGCCACCCAGGTGCCCCTGTTCAGATTTTTCAATTGCTGAGCTGACTGTAAGGGTCCTGTGATCTTCTCACAGCACTTTGTGAAGGATATTTCCTTATCTCAAGAGTAAGGAAATCCCTCAATCCATTCAAGTCACCCATTTCAGATTCTTGGTGCCCCTGTCTTTACTGTCCTTCTTCCACCCATCTCCACCAGTCAAAATCCAGCCCATCCTTCAAAACCAGCTTAACTGCCACTCCTTTCATGAATCCTTCCTTGATCTCTTTTTCCCACATCAACACCCCCAATATAAAGTATCTTTTCTTTTATGAATGCTTGAAGAATATTTCTAATCTCTCTCATGATGCATTATTCCTTGTATTATAATTATTTATCAATGTTTATCTTATCTTTCCTACTAGCCCTTGAGGGAAGAGACCCTTTTGCCAATTTTTTACTCCCTCTATAGTTCCTTGAATGTGCTAGATGATCAATAATTTTGTTGAATTGAATTGGCACAGAAAGTAACCCCCATCTTTCTGTTCAGCATATTTCCACTGGTGGTGGTGGAAGGTGACTTAAGCTTCAGTGCCCACCCACTCACACTATTTCCTCCTTCTCCTCCCTCTGGGAAGAAAATACAGTCAGCCACTCAAAATCAGGCCCTTTATTCAAGACAGAGGTGGAATTCATTGTTGTAGTAAAGGTGCCATCAGAGGGCAATGAGCAAGGGTCAAAAGTCCAGTGTACAGTCATGCATCGCCGGAGAACAGTCCTCAAGTGTTCAATGGTGTCACGATAGGGCTCAGGACTCAGAGACAAATCAGCTTCAAGGAGGAAGAAAGAAGCAAACTCAGGCAGCCTTAGGGAGGAGACATTCTAGGAACATACAGAGGGCAGAAGTAACAAAGACAGCAGGCACTCACAACTTCTCACAGTGCCACTGTTCCAGCTTCTCAGAGCAGAGTGGTTTATGGGCCAACCTGATAATGGAAAAGAAGACAGGCAAGTTGGCTGACTGGATCTTAGCTTAAACTTCCATCTAGCTTTACCCCCAGGAGGGCCAAAGTGGAAGAGTATAGATGAAAATTAGAGAAAGAATTTCTTAGCCAGAAGGCAAGGGACATTGAGCCACCTAGTGGGTTAAGGTCCAGTTTTAAGACTTCAAGAAAATTGAAAGGATGGAAAAGCCATGTAAATGGTATCAAGGGCTTGTTTCAGGGTCTAAGAAATAGATGTCCATGTCCATGTGAAGGGAGCCCTAGGTCTCCGCCCTCTATTCCCTATGCTTATTAGGAATATTGCTAAAGAGGAGTGGCATTAGGGAGGCTTGGTAAATTGGGAATCTGAGTCCGTTTGATGAGTTCTGTTTTGGAAACTACCCTCTAGATTAAATGGCCAAGAAATAGAGAGATATATATAAATAGAAAGAGAGATAAATAAAGAGAGGCAGCAGTGCTGCACTAAAGGAGTGAGAAAAAGAAGGGGAAGGGGTAAGTAGAAAATAGAATGGGATTCACCAGTAGTCGATTCCTTCCTTATTCAGAATCTTCTTGGCACAAATCATGTCATCAGTAAGGTCATCATCCAGGAACTCTGGCAGGAGTTACAAAGACAGGAATGTGAGAACTAAGTATTACCCAGAAAGATAATGAGTTCCCTGTTCCCTGGATTTACTAAGTCTGGTCCTTCTCTGAACTGGATACTTATGCTTGTTGCCTTCCTATATGAAAAATCCAATACAGTAAGTTCCCCCACCCCAGATAAGGACTCTCTTCACTTCTCTTGGGTGTCTTCAGAAGAATTATCAACTTCATCAACTCTGAAAATGCAGGGTATCAAACTTCAAGATATACAGACAGCTAAAATCCTCTACTTCAGGGGACTGCCTGGAGCTCTAGTGAACATGAAAATTCTAATAGACTTTTATTCAGTACTGTCAAGTCAGGCCCCACAGTTGTAGGCAGTGCAGCCAGAGGTGTTCTTGATACCAAACATGAGATTAGCCCAGGGGTAGGCTCTGGGAAAACAGAGGAACAGGATAAAAGAGGCTACTCACTGTCACAGGAGATGTTACAGATGTTCCTTGACTGAAGGATCTTGTTGTCCCTGCACCAAACTTTATTGTTGATCTGGAAGAGTCCATATTCTGTGCTGCCATTGTTATTGACTATGGTTTGTGTATCATAACCACTGGTATGAAATATAGTACAGATCCCTGAGGGGAAAATGAGAGAGAGGTAATACAGAGGTGTCCAGGCACGGCATTTATAACATAAATGAGGACCTGTATTACCAGACATAGAAAGGCTCTGTAGCCAATCTCCAGAATATGGCAAAGCACAAAGTATCTTGATGAGATGAAGGATTTCAAAAAGGATCAGACAATAAGAGAAAGGGAAGATATATTAATAAATGTAACAAAAGAGTAAACACATAAGCACATAAGAGGATTATTAGATAATTGAATAAAAGTGGAGAGGAAAAAGAGAAGAATGGGATAAAATGAAGCAGCAGGGAACTCACATTCAGGCAAGGCAATGCCTCCAAAGCCATCCATGTCTTTCAGAACCTGGGACAGCTCACATTTAGTAAATTGCTTTGCCTGGATGGCAGGAAACATGATGCCAACCAGGAGCAGAGAGATAAAGGACATCATTTCGGCTACCCCCAAGAACCTGAAATGGGGTGTCACACAGCTTCACCTCCTTTTATTTGTGGGGAAAGCCTCAGAGGCCCTGGCACCAAGCCCTACATCAGGAAGAAGATGAAGAGAGAGTACTCATGCCAACACAGAAACACTGAGCCTGCCAGCTTCCTTCCCGTACTTTTACCTCATTTTTCCTTCTCCTCCCCTAATCTCTAATCCATACAGGTATTGTTTTCTGCCCAGAGTTTCAATCATGATTCTATTCCCATTTGGCTTTGTTTGTACTTTTGTTTCTTGTAGATTTGGTTCTAGGAAGCAGGACGTCCCCAGCCTACTTCAGGAACAAAGAAGGCCTCAGGAGTAATATAAATGAAGCAATCAGAAAATAAAATAAGGGTCATAGCCAAAACCCGTTTCCCCCTAGAGCCATACAGAATATGAAAAAGGAGTGTATATCATTACATGCCATAGTCCCAGGATCAGAATTTGGTTGGCCCTTGTCCAATCAACCCAGGCATGGAACAAAGCCCAAGAAGAGTCCCTTGAGGTGGTGGTTCATGGCTGGGAGCTCAGGAATAGAGATAGTCTACAGCAACATAGACTGCGAGAATCAGATATAACTTGGATCCAGAAACCTCATACTTCGGAAAACAGAATTTGAAAAGTATGTATGATAGTATCTAGCTATCCTATGAGCTATTATCAGGCTCTCCACCCCTAAACACCACTACCACTAAATAGCCAGATACTACATTTGTGTTAAGACCTTATGTAAATCCAAATCTAACTTATAGATTTGTTCGTGGGTATGGAAACTTATAGACAGCCTCAGAGTTGGCCACAGAAGGTTAAAAATAGAGTAACCCAAGCTAGTGGGAAGATAAGACTTTGAACACTTTAAGATTGGGCTAGAATATATCTGGGGCCTATAAAACAAGATTCTGGATCTGAGCTTTTTAGTGCCCTTGAGCAAGTAGAGTTAAGGGTACTAGTTCTGAATAATTACTCCACCCTGCTGGCATCAAGCTTCATGTCACGGAGCCAATAGCTGTTAGCCTCCTTCATGGCAGGGCTCACTCTCTTTATTCCAATCTCTAAACCCGATTTCTTACATTGTCGTGGATATCTAACTATTTAAGACTTCCAAACTGAAGGTATTCCAAACTGTTATATCCTACAACTCTTTAAAATCAGGGCAAATGCCTCTCTTTTTTTAAAGATTTTATTTATTTGAGAGAGAGAGCACATGAGTAGAGAAAGGGGTAGAGGGGCAGAGAGAAACAGACTCCCCACTGGGCAGGGAGGCTGACATAAGGCTCAACTCCAGGACTCTGGGATCATGACCTGAGCTGAAGGCAGATGCTTAACTGATTGAGCCACCCAGGTGCCCTAGACTTCTCCCAGTTTTATCTGGTCTTCTATATCATGGATAATCAGAATATGAAGCAGCATGAGTGAAAAGAATGTAGAGGATCTTGGTGCCAAGAGAGATGAGCAGAAATTCCTGATAGCAAAGAGATACATGTTCAGAAATACAGCAAAAGTTTGCTACTGCATTTCTCCTCCATTCTACCTAGAGGCATTGGAGGAGTGCATGAAAGACTGGAATAGGAATTCTATCACACTAAGCAAGTATGGTTGAAAATATGGCTGGAAGTAGATGATGACCTTGAACCATATGAAAGAGGGACAGATGAAGAAAGTGTCTTTCCAATAGTGAAGTCTGGTGTAAAATGCCTCCTGCAATGGACTGTAGACTAAGTACCTGTGATAGAATAAAATGGTGGGCCAAGATATCAGTAATCACAGGGGCTTACCATGCTTCCAGCCAAGTCAAGACTTCTGGCAACAGGCTGCTTGCCTATAATTTGGTTGTATCTGTCCTTCCCTGAAGCAATAAAAAGCAGCATCCAGGTCTGCACAGCTAAGCACAGAAAATAAATGTGCCTCAGGCAAGAGGAACCATTATTTCCCTAGAAATGTTTGTAAAATAGCATATCTGGGAGTCATCTGAAAAAGAAGCTAGAAGATGTCTTATGGGAACAATTACAAACATTCAGAGAAAGACACAGATTCTTGGCGATAGACCAAAGAAGAACAACAAACAATGACCAGAGTACTGAAAAAGGAAGTGTATGGAAAGACATCAGCACAGCTAATGGAGGAAAGCTCCAGTCAAAACCTCCCTTTCCTGACAGGTAGGGTGCTCTATGTACAGGCTGAGATCTGAATCAAGGCAGTGAGGAGGCATTAACAACACAAGGATTTTTCAGAAATATGCTTGCGAGCTATGTTCATTCTCTCAGATGCTGTGGTAAAAATCAGGTTTCTCAAACCAGTCCTATTTGGAGGACTTTTAGAGATTAAGGAATCAAAATCATCTGCTTCAAAACATACTTGGTGGTTGCCATCCACAACCATAGTTTGCAGATGGTAATTTATAGAGAAAGTCCAGGACAATCTTTTGGAGGAACAGCCTCCACACCCTAGATCCACAATAACGTTGATCATTATTTCTTTTGGTTAATATACTCACCTTGTTCTACTTCCTCCCATAATCCAGGTAAATTATCAATAGGTGGACAATGAGGCTAGATCTTGGACTTGACACACAAATTTTAGAAAAATTCTTAGTTGAATTAGAGAGTTATTTAAAGCAAAATTAGGGAAAGGAGTGATTTCTACTGGTGATATTCTTTTGGAGTTGCTTGTGCAAAAATCCTTTCAGAGTCACTTAGCACTATGGATTCTAATTGTGTATCTGCACCAAAGGCTTGATCTCAATTTACATAACATTATTTTGAATTGTTGTATTTGTATTACCATTTCTATAACTGCTCTTATGCTTAAAAGAACCAATTCATTTTTTATTTAAATTCAATTAATTAACATATAGTATATTGTTAGTTTCAGAGATAGAGTTCAGTGATTCATCAGCATTATATAATATCCAGTGCTCATTACATCACGTGCCCTCCTTAATGTCCAGCACCCAGTTACCCCATCCCCCTACTCCCTTCTCTTCCAGCAACCCTCAGTTTGTTTCTTATGATTAAGAGTCTCTTATGGTTTATCTCCCTCTCTGATTTCATCTTGTTTTGTTTTTCCCTCCCTTCCCTTATGATCCTCTGCTTTGTTTCTTAAATTCCACATATGACTGAGATCATATAATAATTGTCTTTCTCTGATTGACTTATTTCATTTAGCATAATACCCTTTACTTCCATCCACGTCGTTGCAAATGGCAAGATTTCAATTTTTGATGGCTGAGTAGTATTCCACTGTATACATATATACCACTTCTTTTTTTTTAAGATCTTATTTCTTCATTTTTGTGAGATAGAGTAGGCACAACTGGGGCAAGAGAATGGGCAGATGGAGAAACAGACTCCCTGCTGAGCAGGGACCCCCCAATATCTGACTCAATCCCAGGACCCTGGAATCATGACCTGAGCTGAAAGCAGACACTTAACTGACTGAGCCACGCATCGCCCCATATACCACTTCTTCTTCACCCATCCATCTATCAATGGACATCTGGGTTCTTTCATAGTTTGGCTATTGTGGATATTGCTGCTATAAACATAGGGGTGTATGTGCCCTTTCAGATCACTACTTTTGTATCTTTGACATAAATACCTAGCAGTGCAATTGCTGGGTCATAAGGTAGCTCTATTTTCAACTTTTTGAGGAACCTCCATACTGTTTTCCAGAGTGGCTGCACCAGCTTGTATTCCTACCAGCAGTGTAAGAGGGTTCCCTTTCTCTGCATCCTCCCCAACATCTATCTTTTCCTCACTTGTTAATTTTAGTCATTCTGTGTGAGGTGGTATGTCATTGTGGTGTTGATGTGTATTTCCCTGATGCTGAGTGATGTTGAGCATATTTTCAAGTGTCTGTTGGCCATTTAGAAGTCTTCATTGGAGAAGTGTCTGTTCATGTTTTCTGCCTGTTTCTTGATTGGATTATTTGTTCTTTGGGTGTTGAGTTTGATAGGTTCTTTACAAATTTTAGATACTAGCTCTTTATCTGATATGTCATTTGCAAATACCCTCTCCCACTCTGTTGGTTGTCTTTTGGTTTTGTTGATGGTTTCCTTTGTTGTGCAAAAGCTTTTTATCTTATGGTTTCACTTATTTGCGGAGCATAACAAATAACATGGAGGACATGGGGAGATGGAGAGGAGAAGAGAGCTGAGGGAAATTGGAAGGGGAGGTGAACCATGAGAGATTATGGACTCTAAAAAACAACCTGAGGGTTTGAAGGGGCGGGCGGTGGAAGGTTGGGGGAGCCAGGTGGTGGATATTAAGGAGGGCATGGATTGCATGGAGCACTGGGTGTGGTGCAAAAACAATGAATACTGTTACACTGAAAAGAAATAAAATTTTTTTTAAAAAAAGCTTTTTATCTTGATGAAGTCCTAACAGTTCATTTTTGCCTTTGTTTCCCTTGCCTTTGGAGATGTATCTAGCAAGAAGTTGCTGTGGCCAAGGTTGAAGAGCTTATTGCCTGTGTTCTCCTCAAGGTTTTTGGTAGATTCCTATCTCACATTTAGGTCTTTCAACCATTTTGAGTTTATCATTGTGTATGGTATAAGGAAATGGTCCAGTTTCATTATTCTTCTTGTGGCTGTCCAGTTTTCCCAACACCACTGGTTGAAAAGACCATCTTTTTTTTCTATTAGATATACGTTCCTGCTTCCTTGAAGATTAGTTGACCATAGAGTTGAGGGTCCATTTCTGGGCTCCCTAATCTGTTCCATTGACCTATGTGTCTGTTTTTGTGCCAGTACCATACTGTCCTAATGATTATAGCTCTGTAATAGAGCTTGAAATTTGGAATCGTGATGTCACCAGCTTTGGTTTTCTTTTTCAACCTTCCTTTGACTATTCAGGGTCTTTTCTGGTTCCATACAAATTTTAAGAATGTTTGTTCCTTTCTGTGAAAAAACCTAATAGTGTTTGGATAGAGATTGCACTGAATGTATAGATCACTCTAGGTAGTATAGA